AATACATGATGATGGCTGCATGAGCTGAAACTTGTAAGAAATGACGAACATACTGTGAGGGAATAAAATAAAGAAATCAAGATAACATGGTAATTATTAATGTTAATTCGGTTCTTGGGCTCTTACACAATGTGGTTATGGGTGGGCTTTTTTACAACTAATGACTAATGAGAAGATGAACTGGAAAGGATTTGGAAGGAAACAATCATATGTTGGGGCATTGCCTTACTGATAAGGCAATAAGGATGTGATAATTGTTTGCCCTCTAGAGGCTACTCTTTGCTGCCAGTCTTATCACCGTTCCATAAGTAGGATTCTTTTGTGCCTAGGTGTAAATGAAATTGCATTCAGCAGACATCTGATTGTCATCCTGATGATAACAAGGGTAACTACTCTTAAAGTGTGTCTGTTTCAACACTGAGTACCATATCTAATACTAACGTACTTTGTGTTTCTGATGTGAGGGGTTCTAGTTATGTGAATTTTTGGATTAGTTCAAAATTTATAGGGGGGGATGTGTGGAACCGAAATTTTCGTAACGCAATAGCAGGACAGTCTTCTTGATCACTAAATTTGTATCTCGGGTAGCGGGGGTGTTGGCGAAAATATACGTACCCATTTGTTGGCAGTAAGAGATAGGGACACACCTAAATTAGAAAAATAAAAAAAGAAAGCTATACAAAATATGCAGAATTAGTTGTGGGTACATAAAAAGACAAATACCTAATGATGAAACCATTAAGATCTAAAATACGCAAGACAAGCTGAAAATCAACAGAGTCATGAGAAAATGCGGTATATTTCATTTGCCTGGACAGACCGATATTACCTTTAAAGGAAGGCAGAACGTGTCAAAACATCTGTTTGTGTCAAGGGTAATTCTCCATTTGTGTTGGCAGTGTAGGGGGTTGAATATATATTTAGCGAACTGTGTATCTGTTCTAAAATACTATGATTGCGTGAGAGACAACTCGTGAAATTTTGTGCACTTACGAATGTGATGCTTCTCTGCAACTGTTGATTTGGCAGTGAACATTTCTCTCAGCCGTCCAAAAGACGTTAGCACTGAAAACGTTCTTTCCACATCTGCATTTATTCCGTGTAGAGATATGGACAGTTCTGCGACTGCATTAATATTTTCTAATGGTATATCGTTTTTAAAATGCCGAAATATTTCTTGCCAGTATTTGCCCTCTGGCAGTTTGTGTTCATTCCGGATATCGCTTTTCCCCTCTACGTGTTTTGAAACACAACATTATTCATCAAATAGTCCAATTTCAGTACGGATTATTTTCTTCCTAATCATAAATTCTAGTGACTTATGAACGTCTTCCCAAGCGCGACTTCTCCTCGGTGTTACCCATGACATGCACTTGAAATCGTTGAATGGATAAATCCACTCTGTAGTGTGTTTCATTGCTGTGCTGTGAAAGCCACTGACATGGGCGTCAAACTGATACCTACGTCACCTGCATATTAAACGCAACCAGATGATTTTTGTGCAGAGTTCGCAATATAGTAGCTTTTCTGTTTTCAACCTTCACTAACGACGTGTCAATTATGCATTTCACTTCCTCTGCTGCTCTTTTCATGTTCTTTTAATCAAGCATTAAACACTACGAATTAATTTTGTAGAAATATCAGATACAGAAGGGGTTCTTTACCTTTAAAAAGTTTCGTAATCATGGTGGGACGCTTCTCGGTTAATAGGATCCTTTTAACAACGAGCATCAGGGAAAGCCATTATGTTTTAGTGTCACCCAATATATTCACATATTCCACGCCAATAAAATCTCATAATCCTCGAATGTTTGAACACGTGCAGTAAAAATATGGAGATTCTTGCCTACAGTATTACCTACTGGTAAATACAACTAGTCTGCCGCTGTCTGCACATCACTGTGTAGTGTTATGTGCTGCGCAGTCCTCATCAGCAATGTCTATCTTTGTTTAATTTCTGAGTCTTTCAAATACATCATTCTTTCCTCTTCATTTAGTTCCACTGAAATCTGCTGAAAGTGACACCACTTTATCTGTTAATTTAGCTTCTTAAAAACACGTACTACACGTATATTCTCAGTTAACTGTATAGAAGATTCCCTAAAACAAGTTTGTGAACTCAAGAATTTTCTTTTTCCTCCTTGCTGTGGAACAAAGTAACGAAACAAAATGAGAAAAGGTGCTTCCGAATTCCTGTTGTTATGAAGTCCATCGATTGGAAAGTTTATTATAAGCGAGAGTATGGAAAGTGAATTTTCCCTCTTTTGTTGCAATGTCTAATTCTTTATCGCGCATGGGTTTTCCCACAAAAGCGTATTTTTTTACTCCATATTTTAACAGCCAGTGATTATTTATGCTTTTTTTGCACGAATGTGTTTCTCTATATCATGTCTACCTCCATCACTTACTGAGAAAACCTTATTGCACAACGTACATCTCACTTAAGTACCTCAGTTCCCTCACTAAATAGAAATGGACATGGGCGTTTAAGAACGTCAAAAAAAAACGCTTTCTTTTGGGAGGGAGCCATCAGTTCAAAGTTTAAATCCTTACCAAATATGCACATGATCAAACACTTCGCTATGCGAATTCTTTATTGTTCTCTTTGCTACTAAGCAGATTACGTCACCATACGTTAGCAGGCTCATGCTCACCTTGTACGTTGCCACGTTACTGCCTATAATTTGAAATTTATACTCCATTAAAGAAATCGGAAAGAGATGATACCGGTTCAGAAAGGAGTAAGACGGAGAACTCATATTTGGACTTCAACAGTGCAGAGGTAGTTGAAGCAACTGGTTGAATTCTTTAACCTCAGCGGAAAGAACTCGCAGCGATAGGCTTCCTGAGAGCGCTACACATCCGGTCTCATTTGCAATAACGTGTTGGTCCCATTGTTATATTATGAGTGCACCTACGCTTCAGTATTTTTTTAAATTTAAATTTCCATGATATGGCTGTTTTTAACAACGTATCTTAGCATTTTAACACGACCGAGATACAGAAGAGAATGTGAAGGATTTCCAAACATGCATTGTCATCCAATATTCCATCTTTAGTGAGACTCTGTAGAATGAATTCACAAAGAGTTACGTATTCCAGTTCATAGTTAACCACATTGGAAAATGTCAAGATCTGAATTAACCAGATGTCAGTTAACAGTGCCGGCCAACTAAGCAGCACGTGGAATGAAATGTTTATGACTTACACGAAGGAGGCTTCTTGCCAGGAAACGGGCACTTTTTCGTAACAGACTTTCGGCGTTTTAGTAACTCCCACACTTATCGGAACATTACCTAACAATGATGGAGGGAGAGAATAATCATCTCCCCCTCTGTCCTCTGTCGTTTGAAAACAAAGCCACAAGAGACGATCGTGGTCATACCACTTTTTTACAATGATAATATCAAATATTAAAATAAAGTTATACGCACTGAAGACCGCCTCTGTGGTCTAGTGCAGGGGTCTGCAGACTTTCCGAAACGCGGGCCACATTAGGTAATTCAGCACTTTCAACGGGCCGGATAAAATGAGAAATTAATAACTCTAGGTATATGAGTTTTATTGAAAGCACAGAATTTCATAAACTAAATAAAAAGTAAGTGGAGAATAAATTATCGTATATTAATGACAACAGACAGTAGCAGCAAATGCTCATATTTTCATCACAAATTATAATAAAACAATTAATGTGAATGATGGAACTCTTTTTGTATTCTTAAAATCTGATTAAATTGAGGTTCAAATTTTGAAACGCTAATCACAAGTAGGGACTTTAAATGTTCATCGGATAAATTTGCCCTGTATTTCGACTTGATGTAATTCATCTGGGAAAAAGTTTGTTCAAACAGATATATTGTCCCAAAAATGAAGATAAATTTACAAGCAAATTTCTTTAAATTTGGAAATTGCTCAGAATTCAGAAATTTATAAAATTCGATCAAATTTCCTTCCTTGTATTTGTCTTTAATATAATACTTTTCCTGAAGTTTAATAATTTCCATTTGAATTTGACTTGGGACATCTGCAGCATCACAGTCAAACGGATTTTGAAACAATTTAATTTCCTGAGCACTGGCATTCAAATCAGCAAATCGCTTCTGAAATGACTAAATTTTGCAAACGAGGAAGGAAATTCAGCTTCATCATTTTTATGCAGCTCTGCACAGTATAGCATATGAACAAAGTTACAAATTTTCACTTGGCTTTCCAGAAGTTTCATCTTGCAACTTTAAATTCAAATTGTTCATATGGTTCACCAGATCAGCAAAAAATGCTGATTTCCAAAGCCACTCAGTATCTAATAAAAGTGGTTTGAATAATATTAATATTAACATAATATGGAATATCGATATATTTTAAACACAATCTTAATTAATGAATTTGAAATCTATGAACAAGTATTTTTTACCAGTACTCATTGGAAAATTAGTTCAATTGGCGCATTTCTGCACAATTCTTTCGCGGGCCGGATAAAATCACATCGCGGGCCGTAGTTTTGAGACCGTTGGTCTAGTGGTTAGAGTTTCTGGCTACAGATCCAGAGGTCTGGGTTCGATTTTCGGAGCTACCAAATTTTCTGAGAAGTAGTGGGTCTGAAACGGGGTCCACTGAGCCTCGTGAGGATAACTGAGGAGCTGTTTCAAGAAAATAGCGGTTCCGGTCTAGAAAACCGAAATTAACAGCCATGGGGATTCGTTGCGCTGACCACGCGGCACCGTCTTATCAGCTAAAGTTGGCACTAACTTCGCCGACATGCGGCGGTCGCTCGGTCGGTATAGTTCGCTTGCAGACTAAAACCACAGAGTTTGTTTTTGTTTGTTTATACGCACTGAAACCCAGAAAAGATTTGGCATCTATTTGCTAATGTAATCCAAAAGTTTCGAAAACAAATCTTTCAAAATTTGGGCGTCTGAACTCCCGAAACACACGGGAGCACAGTGACATGACGATATCATGGCTTATCTTCCCTCGATAATAAACTAAGAAAGAAAGAGCATTTAATTAATGCCGTTGAAGTAGGACAAGGTAGCACACGATTATATCAGTCACGTGGTAGCATATCGGACTCTCTTTTGTCAAATGCAATCGAAGAAATCAATGGGATTTTCAGTGTTCAGTCAAGTGTTTATCAACAACTAAGACTTGATACGTAGATAGAGATCGTATCTTTCAGAAGCCTTGATCAGTAATGTCCTACTTTATCTTCAAGCACATGGACTATCATCGGAATTCCCGAAGTGACGCACGAGATCGCGAATTTAATAATAGCGTATAAAATGCAGATCAATATAAGATTTTACCATTCTGACAAGTGCACCAGCCAATTCTCCACGATGCTGCGAACAGCTGCACTTCTGACAATTTTGGTTGCAGGGGCAATTGAAGGTTCGTGTTGTGGTGACGTTTTGGAGTTGTATCCGAAGGGCAGCAGGTTCGAATTTCGGACACGTTACCGCATACCTTGACTGAGGTTTCTCGCGGGTTTCCTTGGTGTCTTCAGTCAAATTCCCAGTGAAATAGTGAATCTGTTTTGTTTTTGTTGTAACTACCGCAGTTCATCGGCGAAGGCACCTGCAATTTCTTGATTCAGAGAAGGAAATTGAAACATCATTCTATGCTCAAATTATTTCTTATTTATCAAAGAAATTTTGGTGAAAATATTTTATGTCATCTTTAGGCATGACACACAGCAAAACCGTTAGTGTTGAGTCACCAAAATTCTTCTTCTTCTTCTTCTTCTTCAGTAGTACAGCTCGAAGGTTCTCTGACAATTTCAGTTCCTCTCTTTTCAATTTTACAAGGGAAAAGGGAAATAACAGAAATTAGCCTGGATATATTCACTTATTTCACAAACCTGGTTCATTCTCTTACTTGTGACGGTACCTTGCCATGACCTGCTTCTACAAAATTATCACCTAATAAATATGCATCGTTCAATGAAATCTTAAGGTTCTTCTTATGACTGGTCAGTATTAAAACGGTGTGCTTATTTATGCGATTGCAGGACGAACGGTCCGAAGAATCCCAATCTTCAGAGATAATCGCATTATCAATGGAGTTGATGCTGAGGCAGGAGAATATCCCAGTCAGGTGAGTACTGATTTTCTGGTAACAGAACTGGAAGATGAATCACAATTAAGAGTTCGCCAGAGGATGGTGTTAACTGTAGAATTATAATTCTACAGTTAACACCATCGTACTCGTCGTGTCTAAATTTAATGTTATTTTTGTTCTCCAATTTCCTTCTCGAGTTTCTAAATAATTGTTTTTCGGGAGGTTTCAGAAACAAAATCCTGAAAGCATTTATTTTCTCTACTAACCCATAATCTGCCGGTCACGGTAGCCGAGCGGTCTAAGGCATGTACTGTCTTCGCTCGCTTCGAAACCGGGATCGTGGGTTCGAATCCCACTCAGGGCATGGATGTTTAGTTTGTGTGTGTGCGTTTTTCTGTGTTTGTGTATAGGTAGAGGCCTTGCGACGAGCTGATCACCCGCCCAAGGAGTCCTACCGAATGTGTAAGATCTAAAAAAACCGAAGTGAACGGAGAAGTTCATGGAGGTAGGCCTAGGCCCACTGGGGCTGTAGTGCCAAGGAAAAAAAAAATCCCTAATCTATGGCCAGCATATGGTGAACTTCTTCACTTAATCATCGCAACAGTATCACGAGAAGTGTCCCAGGCACGAAGTTCTTCGTGATACAATTTCCTTAGTTCCATTTTTCATTTCTTCTTCTTCTTCTTCTTCTTCTTCTACTGCCAATTCATGGGTTGAATTATGACCGTTCTGAGGCTAAACAAAATGGTTGTGTCCATCTTTACATGTTGCAATTAAAAGTGATTTTCATGACATTTTGAAATAAAGGAGAGCCTGTGAATAGTTTATGTTGCAATAGAGACGCAAATGAGTGATACATCAAAGCAACGGGATGCTGAAATATAATATTCGTACAGTACGCATGGCAGACACAGACAGAACTAAGTGCTCGCTAACGTCTCGCCAGTATAATGCTAGGAAAACCCATAATTCACCTAAAATTCTTAATCCTAATCCTTAGAAAATGTAGCAAAACTCAGATATCTTTGAACCACAGCAAGTCAAAAACACACAAACGAAGAAATTGGAAGTAGATTAAATTTGGCGATTGTTTACTACAATCAGGTGCAATTGGCCAATCAGTGGCCGCCGTGCCGAGTGGACCCAGCTGGACTCCACCCCCCACTAAGCTTACTACAATCGGTTCATCATACTTTGTCTTTCCATCGTCTACCTAAAAATTTAGTTAATTAATGGAACATTATTCTCCATATTTGGTGCATGGTGTGGTATGGTGGATACCTCCCTAAGGAAAACAATCCTTTAATACCTGTGATTTCCCCTCTAAAGTTATTTAGTGGTATAATGATCTTGTTACAGCTGTCTCTGCAACGCCCAACCAGTCATAGCTGTGGAGCTTCGGTACTGAACGAAAATTGGGCACTTACAGCAGCCCACTGTGTTGATGGGTGAGTGTGTTCAGAAGAGATTATTGTCGATCACGGTTTAATTTGTTCACTTCACCACGTCGTCAAGACCGGATCTGGGGTTCACCTCACCTCCTATACAACGGGTAACAGGGGCGCTCTTCCCGGGGATAAAGCCGCCGGTGCGTGAAGCTGACCACTCACCTCCAACTAGAGCCGAGGTCGAGAAAATGTGGATCTATACATCCACTCACCAATACGTGTTCATGGCGTAGTGCTTAATTAGTTAAGCAGGGGGACAAATTTACCTTTACCTTACTTTTACCTCACTGTTTAAGTTACCTATGTAACAATACATTTTTTTCTTTCCAAAGGAAACATCGTCCAGACTACTATATTCATTTCGATTAATTTAGGTTTGAGTGAAATATGTTAAATTGTGTTTAGATACTTTGATTTTGGTTCGCATCTGTTCATTGTAGGACCACTTACACAAGAACCTAAATGTAAGCTTGCCTCTTTCTTATTGTGCTCTTTAACATACACTTATGAACATGAATATACTGCATTCTGCAGGTATCATTAACTTCAGTTTGTGTTGAGGATCACGTTGCAGGAAGATATAAATACTGTCAGGATGTGCCAGTGCAAATACATATTAAAGCAAAACTTCCTGAAGACAAGCTGCAGATACCCATACAAGAATCATGGGATACAGTGCTGGACTTTCGTGTATGCTAAGGAAGCCATGAAACCTCTAAATACCGAGAAAAAAATTTTGCTTGTAAAATTCGAAAGATAACAAACCATTTGATTTGGTTCACCCTAGCCCGTCACATTAACAATATTATGAAAGATTATCAACTCGTCCAGAGTGATTGATAAATGTTTCTTCTCCTTCTTGATCTTTCATCCTTGACATGTTTCGGTCTGAGAGACCATCTTCAGAAGGACATAATGACCACTCACATTGTAATAGTACGTAGTTTCCGCTTGTATTGATATGTCCTTCTGAAGACGGTATTTAAGACCGAAACTTTTCAAAGATGAAAGATTAAAAAGGAAAAATAAAACATTTATTAATCACACTGGACGGCGTTGATAATCTTTATAATAACAAACCATCTTGTCGGACTGCAATTATGGAAACACCACACACACGTGAACACCTGCATCAATCGGCAACAGGCTGGGAGATGGCATCGCCCTTTGCGATGCAACTGTGACATTTTTATCAAGCAATGTATTCTTGCAGTTCCACGTACACGGATATATTGAATACTGAGTGTTGACATGGGGGATGGGGACAACCTCCGCTTTGGCACAAGAGCTCAGACCACCACTGGGTCCACTGCGGCCCCTCTTTTCACTAGAGATCTTCAGCCTGTTCTAAGCGCTAGGGCCAGATTATGCTCGATTGAGGCCCTACTAACATCTGTTGGCTCTGCCACAGCACAGTCTAAGTCTTTCTTTCTATACTCAGCCAGAAATGGGCGCTGACAAAGTACATAATAGGAGGGTTCCTCCTCCTATCAACATTTCCTTCACATGGCATTATCCGAGGGGCCCATTATGTGTAAGTGCCCTATCAGGCAGAGTACAGTGGCCAGTTAACAATCCTGTTACTAATCTGCACGGTTTTCTGTTCAAGGCCAGTAGGTCTCTAGACAGGTTTCCTAGTTTTGGAAATATCTTAGGGCCTCGCGAATTCTTAAACCCGACCTGATGGGCGTCTTTTGCAATAGTTGCGTAAAGGACTGTCCCAGAGTAAATCACAAATGCATTGTTGTTCTTTTTCTTTTTGCAAACACCCACTCAGGCCGAAGGATCGGGCACTCCGCCATGAGGATCGGCCGACCCATACGGCATAAATTCGTTCACTGGGGTGCTGTCTGTATAGTCAGAAAGCCCAATAACTCTGCTCCATTGAAATGCTGCCAAAGCTTATGTGATAGTCATGCTGATGTCTTCTCGGCTTGCAACATATTGTGATGCGTTACCTTACGTTCATCGCCGCGACAACCGCTACAATCGGAACGGACACTTCCACGGCAACGAATACGTGGAAATTGGGGAGTTCCCGCAGCGACAAATCGTAGCAACGAATTGTCGTTGAGTAACAACGGATGAGACGAAACGCGTTACCGGTGTATTCTATAAGGAGCGTTCCCGTAACAACGGACTGTCTGAGCAGCGGTAACGGAACCCTGAGGAATGGTGTCTGGCATCCGGTCCGCATAACCCCTATATAAGCAGAGCCAGAGACGACACAGAGTATTAGAGTAGAGAACGAGACAGTCTTGGGATAGCCGCCGCTGAAGACAGTTGGGATCCAGCTACGGCCAAGGACAGTTGAGACGTCGAATGAGAGTAATTGCGCAGAAGTCAAGTGATACTGCAAGCGATAATTGTAAGGTGTGTAAGTGTGAGTGTCCAATGAAGATTCGCTAAATCCGAAACCCACGTGAAGTTATTTGCCGCGTGACATACCCGACACGTGATAATATTGCTCATAATTAGACAGTAGACAGTAGAATCTTTTAAAATGTTCACTCCAAGAGAAATCAGTGCACCCTCCTGGGATAGTACGTAATATTGGTAGGGAGGTTTTCGCGCTCTGATTACCTGGAGAGGTACTCGTATGCTAGCTGGAACGTTAACTCCTGGTTGGAGGCCCTATGCCGTGTAGTTCTAAGGTTAGGCAGTAGACGAGAGGTGGCACCTGGTCCTCCAGGCTGGAGATTAGGAGTGAGGCCAATAGCCTCGTTATGTTTTAGCATGCTGCTACGCTATTTTATCACTTGATATACGTACACAAACAGTCTTCAGCGCAGCTCTGCGTGTGGTTCCTGGGTTGACCATTCCACTACTACACGACGTGTTTCGGTATAATAAGGACAATCGTCAGATGTGTATGTTCTCGCACATAAACTTCGTAACTTTCTAATTTTTAAAATCTGAGCACAACAAAAATAATTAGTTTCGTGCACTTAGTAAAGACATAACTTGATCGGCGTGCCAACCATGTAACAATTTACGTGCATGCCGACACATTATAATGGATGATTCTCTCTAGCCGTTTTCATTCTGCTTTCCAGTGCATCCACATCTAGCATCACTTTCTGGGCTGGAACAATTTATCTGGACAATGGAGGAACCCGACATCGAGTTGAGAAAATCGTCGTTCACGAGGGCTATGATGAAGGCGATTCTTGGAAGAATGATATTGCTGTTGTTGCGGTATGAACTCACGTATATTCAGTTACGTATGCATGGTGCAAACACCGAGCTTATCTTTTGACCCCCGAACTACGGTTCTTACGTAAATATTTGTAGTGAATCACAGAGAAACAGTGTGGATGGATGTAGATTGGATTCTTCTGGCTCAGATTTAGTTCTGTGGCAGACTCTTTCTTGAGCAACTGAAAGACTATTAGCTTCTAAACATACTTTTGTTACTTTGTAATAAAATATTTCTTAGGTCAACGTTCATCTTGACACATTTATTTTCATATAATTCTAACGCTTTGTCTTGTTCACTGAGAAAGTTAAGACACTAAGATTCCATTTTCTGTCCCCTCGTGGAATTCTGTATCTCAGTTACCGCAATAGATCACAACACCGTCGTCGCTGTTTTCTTCCAGGAGTTAGATAACCTAGTGATATTTAATAATCAAGAAATTTTTGTGAAAATTGAGGATCTCATGGCGGTAACTACGAAGACTTTTATTTTCGGGGATCCGACGCCGCGCAGATTGGCAAAAATGTATCGACCTCCTGTCTCTGATAGTCCCCAGGAAACGTTGGAACGTATCTCCCAAAATACACGAGATCACATCCTGAAATTTAGGAATCTTTAAGAAATGTGTTGCTGAAGCATAGCTTATTCCTGCCGAAAGGTGACCGACATATTAACCGATTAATAGTACCCATCTTACTGAGTTTTCAGTGAGAACTTAATAATATTTCAGCTATTCAGAACATTTATTGTTGTTATGGAACCCGAATTCTCCATCACAACAAAAGAACGCCATTTCAGCCTGTCCTAAAGGAGTTTATCCGGTTCCAAAACGATGTCCTTCGTTCCCCCAAGCGTCGTCTTTGACCGATGCATTCTCCGATATTTCAGTAATGACCGCTGGATTGCGCATGAGGGCGGGTACGTCGGCAGGGTGGGAGGTGGTTGGTGGAAGCCTTATCATTACGTCTGGAAGCTGAGTGATAAGGAAAAGGTGATCTACAGAGACTAAAAAACGCGATTCGATCGCAGCTCTTACATGACTAAAAACATTACTCTCTTCTGCGACCTGACCCAGTGTAGCTTGATAGATAAGTACCAACGTTCCGAAGGAACCCGCTGTCCTCATATGTCGGGTCTATCCTGCTCATTCGGGTGACACCAGCCATACCTCCGTGGCCTTTAGTCCGCAAGCGAATTATACCGACAGCCGCTTGTCGGCGAAGTTAGTGCCAACTTTTGCGGATAGAGGGAGTCGCGTGGTCAGCGCCGTTAATCTCAGTTTTCTAGACACCAGCCATACAAATTGACTTTGTTCACAGGTGTTAGATCCTTTCAAGATCGATGGGGTGAATGTGACGCCCATTGCCCTGCCAGCCCGGGGACAGAATCCAGAAGATGGAGCTGCTGTCACGGTTATAGGATGGGGCAGACTGCAAGTGAGTGTGGGGCGGGATAGTCTATGTTGAGACACACAAACCTGAGCTCTGCAGAGCTGGCATATTGGGTCTTTTGTTTGGCATAGTGCTTTAAAAGCAAACAGGGGGTTCTAAGGTAAACATGTCCATATCGTTAACCACGTTGCTATGGTAACATATTGATGCTCTTAATAGGATAAGTATGTGTACTAGTATATTACGCATGATATCATTGTTAGTGGTTAAGAAGACCAAAAGATGACAGTAATAACGAACGGCGAGAAGAATCTTCGTTTCAGTAGGTACTTCATTCTAGGAATTTGTCGAAAATTTATATAACTTGCATATACAACAAATCATGATTTCAAACAGACCGTCAGGGGCTATATTATATAACTGTGGACAAATGAAAGAGTTTTCGGAGGAAACAGTATATGGGGACGAGAATTGTCAAATCTCCCCACTACCAGTAATTTATTTAGCTGAATAACCATGGAAACTTGACTTTAACTGTAGATAGAAGGAGGGTCTCTTTCAATTCACTGATCTTCCCAAACACTAGATAAAGTGAAACTGCAAACTCTAACGCTTGAAAACAGGGTATCTCATGTGTAGCATGGCAACGGTTAACACTGGAACAAAATGGAAATTATAAATTTGTATAGAACACTCAACTGAATAAATCCATTGATTCATTTAAACTTAATACAGAAAAATATGCAGTAACTCAGGTTATAATTCGCGTAATAATATTGATATTACTTTACATTTTTAATAAAATTAGTATCTGTGATGTACTGTACATGAATGTTCAAACATTTTACGTGGAAGGTTACGAGCCCAATTCCGCTCGTCTGTGACAGGATAAAATGACACTCGAATTCTCGTTGCTGTTACTGTTTAAAAAACTACTACTACTACTACTACCATTGCTACACTTAAACTGCTATTACTACTACACTGCTACATTACTACTGCTGCTTTCATATTTTTTATTGCTAGTGAGGTCGGACTAAGTCCCTTGTACTGAGGCCACTTCTGGCCTATTGTACCAGCCCCAGACGATAGGTGAGGGTGATTGTGGAGCAATTGGTGGAATTAAGATTGGCAGGGGAAACCGAAGTACTCGGAGAAAACCTGCCCCAGCGCCACTTTGTCCACCACAAATCCCACTTGACGAGACCCGGGATCGAACCCGGGCCGCAGCTGTGGGAAGCCAGCGACTAACCGCTTGAGCTAAGGTGCGGCCCGCTGTTTTCATTACTGCTACACAAACGAATTCGCAAACACAGGGAGTGACTTAAGTATGGGAAAGTGATGAGCAGTAATTACGCCAAATTCTTGTTTTGTTTTTGCCAGCAAAATGGCCCTATTCCTAACACGCTGCAAAAGGTAGACCTTGCCGTTGTGAACCAGCAAAAATGTAACGACGTGTACACCGAATTTGGCTACCCTATTTACGACGGTCATATTTGTGCCGATGTGCCAGAGGGCAACCAAGGCTCATGCAATGTAAGTACTGGATCTTGAGCTGCACTACAATATTAGTTTTAGTGATCCTTGTAGAGGCATGACTCCTTATTGTTGGTGTCCCTCACATTGAACGCCTCCAAATACCTGTTATTTTTGTTCACATTGTTGCGTGTATCGAGTTTTTTTTATTTCTAGTGTGGTGGGACTGAAACCCTTGTACTGCGGCCACTTCTGGCCTATTGTACCAGCCTCAGATGATAGGTGAGGGTGATTGTGGAGCAATTGGTGGAATGAAGATTGGCAGGGGAAACCGAAGTACTCGGAGAAAATCTGCCCCAACGCCACTATGTTACCACAAATCCCACTTGACCAGACCCGGGATCGAACCCGGGCCGCCGCGGTGGGAAGCCAGCGAGATTATTAACGCCGTCCAGTGTGATTGACAAACGTTTTTTTCTCCTTATTAATCTTTCATCCTTGACATGTTTCGGTAGGGGCGAAGGACATGTCAATACGTGCAGAGACTACTGTTACAATATAATGATGAATATAATATACCATCCTTTAACAGTTACAGCGTTATGCATGAATTTATTAAAATATTTATAATTTATTATAATTAGTCTATTTATAAGTATGGTTTAAAAACTTTGTTACAATTTAGAACCTATTTGGTTCGTGTCCTTATACTGCTACATTGTAATAGTAGTTCCCGCATGTATTGATATGTCCTTCTGAAGATGGACTCTCCGACCGAAACAAGTCAAGGATGAAAGATTAAATAGAAGAAAAAAAAACATTTATCAATCACACTGGACGGCGTTGATAATCTTTATACTATTGATAGTATGACGGAACATGATGAAACAAGTCAAATACAATTAACTACTTCAAAACAAAATATTCATTACGACATACTTGTATTGCCTCTATTTTTAACCCTGATGCCAGATTAGTTTGAAATTGTTTCTGTTTATCACATTTACGTCTAAAAGCGCGATAGGCATCTCACTGAACTTAACATGCTCTTTGTGCAAATAAGGTAAAGCTTCCCCTGTGCTTAACCAATTTACCATTACGCCACGAAGGCGTATGGGGGGGGTGGATGTATAAATGCAAGTTTTCTTGAACTGGACACAAGTTTTAGGTGAATGGTCAGCTACACGTCCCGGCTTCTTCAACCACGGTGAAAGAGCCCGCGGTACCCACTGGAATGCAAATGCGTTTATAATTTTGCTGGGACCATGCTACTGTTTCCTAAAGTTTGGTCATCAGGCACGCTGCAAAAACCAACACACGTTAATGCGAACTGAAGATAGCTGCCAGCGTATTTACAGTACATTCTTTTTGTAATCTGCCTTTTATACCCGAAGTACTTTATCTGTCTCCCTGTTAGAGCATAATTGGTTTTTCTTTATATTTCCATTTTGACGAAATCCCCCATTTTGCTCCATCTATTTATTACGTGTTGAAGAAAAAAAAAAACTTTGCACATTTGTCGATATTCAGGTTTTTGTCACTAAGACCGAAACATAGCACCACTCTGCAACCCTCCCCACAGTCCTAAGTTTATGAAAAGTGGGCTTGATTTGTCAGAGTGCATAGCAAGAAGTGTCATTCCGCAGTGATGTCAGTTTTTGTCACCAGAGTGCAGTCGCTTGCGCGTATAAGCACACACCAACCGACGTACATTGTTACGTTGGAAATGCGCTCTACAATGTCAACCCAATGATTTTAAATTTTGTTTCCCTAAATCGCAACATTGCGAGTTAAACAAGCAATTAAGGAGCGTATAACTACATTGTTATGACAGCAAACTCGTTGTAAAATGATTATTTCATCATTAAACAGCATTATCTCGCGGAACCCCGTGGTTCCACGGAACATGTTTTGAGAAACAGTGCTGTACGTCACTGGAAACTACGAGAATAATTAGAATGAAGAAATAAAATGAATATGAATAATTTGTAATTTATTTTATAATAAACTAGAATAGGGAATCCCAAGAAGTGGGGTAAGATGAAGGTAAAGTTTGTCTGTAATTAATTAAGCTCCACTTCATGAAGGTGAATAGGGGAATGGGACTACACATTCGTCAATTCTTAACCTCGGTGCTAGATGGAAGTGACTGGTCTGCCTCAGCTCCAACTGAATTACCTCCGGGCAAAGAATCCCCCCAGTGTTCACGGGGTAGGTGGCTGGGGTGCGCCCTAGAAGAGACATAACTCTTGCCCTTGCTGGAAAAGGAACCCGTATCCCAGTAGCTATGCTGACTGAGCTATCCCGTCTCAGTGAGACTGCTGAAGTAAAGCCATCGCTGAGCCTGAGGACCGCAAAATGAAGACTTATAGGCGAATGGAGGTAAGGTTTCAAGCATTCTTCACTTCTGCTGTAGATAGAGGTGGGTGGCTAGTTCAACATTTCAGCCCACTTAACTCTCTCATGAGCCTATTAATGGGAGTGGTGACAAGGTAAAATTATCCCTGTGCTTAATTAATTAAGCACTACGCACTACCACTCCCCACGCGTGGGGGTGAGTGGTTATATGGATCCACACTTTTTTTGACCATGGCACCAGTTGGAGGTGAGTGGTCAGCTTCACGCTCCTGCCACTTTACCCCCGGGATAAAAGCCCCCGATACCCATTCAATAGGAGGTTAGGTTAACCCAAAAGTCGATCTGGACGACGTGGAGAAGAGAAAATTCTTGACCCTACCGTGACTCGAACTCTAACCCCTCGGTCGCCCAGCCTGTAGCCAGTAGCTATACCGAATATGCAAGCTTTTAATATATACCTGTGTGATTTTTACAGGGTGACTCCGGCGGACCATTGTTTGTGAACGGAACCGTGGTCGGTCTTGTTTCCTGGGCATACGGTTGCGCCGTAAAAGGCTACCCCACAGTGTACACCCGGGTCCCAGCCTACAGAGACTGGATCAGGAATCAAACTGGCGTGTAATCAGCAGACACACCCAACTCCACCGCCGAACGTTAATTGGTTCGCTATTAGCATATAATGACAATCACTGAAAAGAATTTCAACGAATATATCTTAATACAAACAGACTATGCTGAGTTTGATTTGTTTCATTCTGGTCCGTCACAATAACAATTACAAATTATAAATCTCTTTGCTCTTTGTTTATATTATTCCTTTCATATATACATATGGAGATGAGGAATGCGTGTAGGATATTGGTGGGAAAGCCAGAAGGAAAGAGATCACCAGGAAGACCAAAGCGTAGGTGGGTGGACGATATTGAAATGGATCTTAGAGAGATGGTATGGATTGGATTGATCTGGTTCAGGATAGGGACCAGTGGAGGGCTCTTGTGAACACGGTAATGAACTTTCGGGTTCCATAAAATGCTGGGAAATTCTTGAGTAGCTGCAGAATTGGCGGCTCCTCCAGAAGGGCTCAGCTCCATAAGTAAGTAAGTATATACATATGTACATACACAGACCCACTCGCCAGTTCTGAAATCAGTTTTCTTCGTCAGTTACGGTTACAAACATCAGAGTTTATCTTAAAGGAAAATGTACATATTAAAACCATAGAAACTTATTCCTCACCATGGAAAAAATACACATTCCTTTCGACCATCCATTTACGAGTATTAGTAACAACACACTAATTCATTTCATACTTTCGTCACGCTGTTATATTAATTCACCGTATTAATATCAGTTACCGCCTTTGTGGTCTAGTGGTCAGAGTTCCTGGCTACAGAGCCAGAGTTCAGGGTTCGATTCCCTGCGGTACCAGAAGTAGTAGGTCTGGAACGGGGTGAGAATAGTTGAGCTAATTCAAGAAAATAGTGGCTCCGGTCTAGAAAACCGGGATTAACTGCCGTGGGGATCCGTTGCGCTGACCACGCAACACCCTCTATCCGCTAAAGTTAGCATTAACTCAGCCGACAAGCGGTGGTCTCTCGCTTGGTATAGTTTGCTTGCGGATTAAAACCACGGAGTTTGTTTTTTTGCTTTGTTTTTATTAATATCAGTTATTAAGTACATTTGTCTGTATGAGAATTGTAGTTGTCCCGGCAATGGCTGTCTTCTGAAAAATGATGAAATGCAGTGTGCTACAAATTCACAGACGTTCGAGGGGAACGTGCTGCCTCCAATTTCAGGGCAGAAACGTTAGCCTTCTGGCTCGAAGATAGAGGCAGATAGCTGAGGTTTGTAAGCCAGTACACTATTACGGTTTGTAACTACGAAACTTTCCCACCCAGCGGGTGCTGAAATTATTAAGCGCGTGGATTACCGATATAAGTAATTGAATTTAGGGAAATTGGCATTACTTATGTACCTATCTTTGGAGGCGGCAGAGAAAGCTTCTTGTTGTAACTTTTGGAGAAGCCGAATGCGATTTCAGGGCTCCGACGGAGAGAGTAAGTAGCACAGTCTCATGGCTGACGAGTCAACATACCGTGTATCAGTGCCAGAACACACCAAGTGCTTAATGAGATTGCAGAATTCCAGCTGCTCAAGCTGTTGGTGTGTTTTGGCACTGATACACCGTGAGCTGATGGAGCTAGCGTACGCTTCATGCAGTTAATTAGCTGTGTTCTGAGAGGATGAAGACAAGAAATATATTAGTGAGAGCCTATTGTATCATTGATTAAATGTTGTAGGCCTGTCACCCGTGTTAGCTGATTAAAAATTACTGACTTTTCACCGACCATCTCTGTCCCCCTCATCAGGGTCAGGGTTTGACATCAGACCCGTATGATGGGTACAGAGATGATCCCTGAAAAGATCGTATTGTAACGTATAGTAGCTTTGCTATGCATCGATCGGGAGAAGGAACGTGCTTTGCTTGGTAACGACTCGGTAAACACTTTCCCGCGGAAACGATATCCGAGCTATTGCTAGGCAACGGATCGGTAAACACTCCTACAACAGTAGAAGTATTGGTGGAAACGGTGTTTTATATTCGGTCCTTGCAAAGTGAATACAATTAAGTGTTCGGTTGAGAATTGGCAGTCTAGTTCCGGAATTCAAAGTGAGCAATTAGTTGAGAGTTTAGCTCTACAAGGGAAGCTGAGAAGATGGGGCTGAGTGTTAACCATCGGGAAACGGCGTAACCAGGGAAACTGAAGTATCTTCATACGTTAGTTGCATTACCAGGAGACGTCTTGTGAACACACTGCAGAAGAATAGCCATTGTTGAGAGCTGTTGCCAAGCAACAACTAGTAAAGGCAGACTGAGAAGGCTTAGCCTGGAGTGATTTGTAGTGTGCAAATCAGCAACAGTGTTATAGTTACTTGTGGTTACGACCTGTAAAATGGTCAATAAATCAATTCACCAATCCAACACCCGTAAATCGTGACATTATTATTAACCGATTTGCATGGCTGGTAGGCCGACGAAATATTATCAACTTTAGCTGCCGTGATAGCTTCAGGTTCTGTTGTGCCATGTTTGGAAACGAAGGCCGGAAAATTGGAACAGGGATCCTAGTAATATGTCTGAGGGCAGTACCATAGTTCAGGCTGTTAGTCGTCGGCTTATCACTGCGGATACCCAGGTTTAATCCCAGGGCAGTCCACATGGAATTTGTGGTGTGCAACGTGACGCTGTGCAATTTCTCTCCGAATAATTCGGGTTTCTCCGGCCATCTATCTTTATTCCAGATCTCTGCACAGTAGTACAATAGGATCATTTTCAGTCGCGATACCGAGAGAACGTTGTCACCCCACTCCAGGAAGGCGGCGGAAAAAGAAAGACACAGATATACCTGACTGAAGATACAGAACTTCTGTTTCAGGTGTGAATGTTATCCATACCTGAACATCGCTCACTGCTGATAATTCGCGTTGTGTAGCCTGTGTGTTTTGATAAACATTTGTGACATATCTCTGCAGTAGGAGCTGCCTCGCAGCTCCGTTCAAGGGCAGACGACTAGGTCGATCCTCACGTTATAGGACGAAGGTCACAGTGTTCTAAAAGACTGTTCTTACAAAAATTCCATATCTCCGTTACAATTATCATGGTGTCCATGGAAAAAAAAATATATTCTGAGAGCGAAACGAGCCCCATAAATAAATCACATGGAGAAAATCGTGATTTATTTAAAAGTTAAATCACAAGGTTCACACAGTTGTCCCTGTCGTATAAAGTACAAACTTTTATTCCCAAATTAATCATACACATTCTTCCATCAGACACTGTAGAATATGGTGTAACTGAGGAAGATTCGATAAATGAGAATTAACAAATATACTGTCAATATATTGAACTGACCTAAAATCGAATTTTGGAGGAAAATAAAAGTTGAACATTCAAGTCGATTTATTTTCTTAAAAAACATTCTGTCACTCACAATTATGCGTTCGTCTTCAATATTTCCTTCTCTGATTCATGAGTCGTAATAAAAAGAACTGTTCTTCATACGACTCACCATGACACATTCCCCAAATTAAGAATGAACAATTCGGAGTATACGTGTCATGCCGAAAACATCCAACGTCACGATTCGATTCGACTTCCCCCTATAGAATTCTTGTAAAAACCTTTCGACAACGACGTCACGGCCTTTAACCAAGATACTATGTGGGGTTCACTTATTCATAAGTTCCTGGCACTTATCAGCATGTTCTTCAACTGCTCTCCTCGTCCTGCTGAAGAAAAAGTAACCATATTTCAGAGACTTGCATCAGAAGGATCATGCATGGTTACACATCCCTGGTTTACTATTAGCACTACGTTAAATAGCATTAAAAAGTTAACTACGGAGAAAAATAAATACAGTACGCTAGAGGAAAGACGAATGGACTGCAGTACACATGGGTTACTGGTATGCCCTTAAATCTGACCGTCGCCATTTCGTGGAAGTCACTGGGCTCTGTGTTTATTTACATATTTACAGAGGAATGTTGGTCTGCCACTGACGCTTTAGTCTTATATTCACGAGATGCTCATTAGATTTCTTTTTTTCGGAAAACCGTCTATCCCGACTGAGGCTTTCCGTGGGTTTCCCAGGTCCTCCACGCAAATGCAGGGCTAGATTTACGATCACGTCCTACCATTTCTTGCTGTATGGTCTAGATACAGATAATGTCCTAAAATAATAAAAAAATACAGCTCAACACAAACTTACAAATATATATAATTTGTTCTTTGAAATGTGTTTCTTAGTTGAATATAACGTGGCGTGCCGCCTAAAAGCCGAAATATCTGAGTAAGAGCGGGCATCCATTGCTAGACAACGGCACGTTAAAACACGCGTCAAGGGCAACAAGCTGGAACAGGCCATTGCTGGGCAACGCTCGGCGAACATTCATGCACGTTTCCGAAACAACGCATACTTAACAGACCGTTACCATGGAACTGAAAACCAGAACTAGTGCGGTTCCCGAGGCAACGAATACACTAGTTAACGGTGCATAGAACATGTGAAACGGAACCCTTGAACAAGGTGTCGCCTAGGCCGTCCGACTGTAGAATAAGAGACCGAACAGAACTGAGCGGAGAACAGGCGAACGGAGCAGAGCTGAGAGCAGAAGAAGAATCAGAAGAATACGACAGAGTAGTCAGGTGGCATCGCATGGAAGACGTCATTTCTGAGTGACTGTAATTGCAATTATAAGCAACTTATCCAATAAACCGCTTTGTCTAATCGGGAACCCATTAATTTCTTGTCGCGTTACCAGCGGGTTTCTTCGTTAAATGAATTGGGAGTCGCCATTTTTTAGTCCGTGCAATGTTCGTAAATACGATTTGTTCTTTTCTTGAAAGTTCGTTAAGTTGAGGTTAGAATGTTTGAACATTTATTTCAGATACTAATATGCTGTTTTAACTGGGTGTCACGACGCACGCTAAGAAATTTCAAGCAAGAAACACTGTTAATTCAGACCTATACTGTTGTCTGCCATCCAATTTCATGAATGGAAATCACAAAGCCAAGCGATTGTGGAGAGGATGCATTTGTTTCACAGCTGATTGAGGAAGAAATGCAATATAATAACATTGTTTATTTTTGGCCTGGATGTCAAAATTCTACGATGTCATGAAATATCTGCTGGTAACGATTGTCGAATTTAACATCTGTGTCTACGGAC